ATTAACAGTTGTCTATGCAAAATACTTAGGATTCGCCAACCATACACCATCAGCATCAGCCTACTGTGGGAGAGAACAAACCAGATTCCAGTGGAGGAGGAAATCAGGAAGAAGCGGTGGAAGAGGATAGGACACACACCACGGAAAGCACCAAACCGCGTCACGAGACAGGCCCTTACATGGGACCCTCAAGGCAAAAGGAAAAGAGGAAGGCCAAGGAACACATTACGCCGAGAAGTAGAGAAAGACATGAGAAGAATGAACAAAAATTTTGTGGAACTGGAAAGGGAACCCCTGGACAGAGTAGGTTGGAGAATACAAGTCGGCGACCTATGTTCCATTGAGGGTAACAGGCGTAAGTACATATATATATTTATATATATATATATATATATATATATATATATATATAACTGTAAGCAGCCAAAATTACTTGAATATAATATCTAATTCGCTTATTTAACACTAATTGTAAAATATAAGAGCATTCAGGAATGATATCTGCATAAATTTATCAGAATTACTTATTTATTCAATAAGAAAAATTTTTCATCATAAATGAAATCAGTTTAGTGGAGTTTTTTCTTCTTGTTTCATTTTACATAAATTTTAATTTGACACATGTTCTTTATAAATTCATTTTTATTAGATGAAACGACGTGTAAATTTCATTATCATATTTCTTATAGGATTAAATTAGCATCATTATTATTCAAAAAAGACTTCAACATACATAGACAGTGGTTTCCAAACTAAAGGGGAATCACTATTTTTTCATTTGTCTAGCAGAACAGCTAAAAGTCTATTAGTATTCTCCACTGAGAAAAAGAAACACTTCAGTTTCTTAACAAAAATATAAAATCATATACATTTTCTTATAAGATATTTTTATGCTTTTAGATTACTGTCTATATTTATTATTTTTTTACACATTTGAAATCATCAATCAATCATTGTTAGACCACCATTAGAAACCTGGAAGCACTGGACGGCCGTTTCGTCCTGGTATGGGACTGGTATGGTCTAACAATGACTGATTGATGATTTCAAATGTGTAAAAAAATCGCAAACCTCCAAAACTGTGCCCCAAAATATATTTATTATATATTATTATATATTATATATTATATTATTTATTATTTACAGTGAAACATCAGAAATCACTATTATAGTTAGCAAAAACTAATGCAATATTGGATGGATATTTCCACAGTGTAAAATTACTCAATGGTTTTGTTATTTATAACGTTCACCTATCTATAATTGGCTTTTTTGAAGACTTTTGAATTTTCATACGAAACTTTAAAATACTTAATTTATGCTTATCAAAAAAAGAATAACATGAAACAAAACCTAAGAGAAACCAAATAAACTTAATAATCAATGTAGTTGTGATTGAAATTAATATAAAATGTTATGTAATTCCAAAACATTTGGTGTATCACAAACTGCTGACAATCAGTTTTAGCTTACAGCATAAATACTATTTGATTTAATTATCATAGTTAATTATGAGAATTAGTTTTTTCAAGATGAATAATAATTCCTACTTATTATAGGATTCACATTAAAACAGGTCATAGAAACTCAAACTTTAGGCAAGTTCATTTGATACAAAACTCATAAGGCATCTAAACTGCAAGGGCTACAACAACTGATTTTACTTTTAGTTTACTCTATTTAGTCAACCCTTATAAAGTTTCTTAGACAACAAGCTGGTGTAACTAACTCCTCAGAAGCAGACGGACTGGGATGGGCAGAGTGAGTTTGTCAATCGCCCTAACTTATGTTTCATATGGACAAAAAAATTGGAGATTATGGTAAGGTAAACGAAGATTTTCTGAATAAAAGCTCCTTTAAATGGAAATCTCATGATTATTTTCAGTTATATTAATAATAGTAATATATCCCTTAAACTGAAGGTCCATAAAAATACTTTTAAGCAAATACGCATTTAGTTTTTATAGATTGTTTTCCCTAAATATACTTCTGAAAAAAACGTTAACGTTTGTTCATCATATATATATGCATATATCTATGGTTTGATGAGATATCTATTCTTTAAATTAACACTTAGATGCACTAACCGGTCAAAAAATATTTTAATCACTATTAGAAACATAAAATTACTAAAGGTTAACAAAAAATAAATCATAATATTGAATAACCAATTACCAGTTACATTTGTTATTTATTAGCTCAAGTTCTTGGTGTTTTCTGTTATGATTATTGCTTAATTTTATCATTATTTTTTTCAAAAATGTCCTCTAAAAATCGATCAAATTCAGTACACTGATAATAGGAATACCCTTTTTTCTTACACTATTTGCCTACAATAAGTATTAATGGCATCCTGGAGTGAGTCTACAGTTTAGTACATTTCATCGAAACTGAAATATGATAAATGTTTGTTTCATTTACAGATGACTGTTATTTAATTACATTAAAATGTTGCAGAAAACTCAGTTTTTTGAGTGTTTGAAAAAAGGTTGGAAAAATTAAAACCATAATATAACAGTTTTGACTTATTTTAGGCAAGCTGAGGTAGAATTATTTTTGTAAATAGAGATAGTGATTGAGTTTATATGGAAAAGACACCGCCACATTCTACTGTTTACTCAGTCAGTTAGCCATGAGCAGCGTGGAGCCTGATATATCACTTCAAGTTACCATACCAAATTAGCTTAGCAAAATGTTAGGGTAATATAAGTAGTTGTACAAAAGACTGGACAAAAGGGATACAGTTCGATAAAATATGGATGCATTGAACAGAAAAACTGTAAGTTAACTTATAAATCCAAGATATGAAGGAAAAAAGATTAAATGCATTTTTGCCACATAGAATGAATCTGAACCATGTAACACATTAGTTTTTAACCATTGGTTGCAAAAATTGCTCTGACCTCATTAAGATAGTTTTCATGTACTCCTACAATTTAATCCAACAACCAGCTTCTTTATGGACAGATCTCACTCTCTTAGCTTAGTCAGATAGCATTCTTCCTATCTACATTACCTATCAACGCAGATATATATGAGACATAGCTGGACTCGTGTATTATATGCCCTAACTACCTAAGTCGATATAGATACACTGCTAAAACATATCATCTCGTTGTAAATAATGTGTACACATAGCTATCAGAACTAATTGTTAAAAATGTACATATATATGCATTTATCACTGAATGACTAGCATTGCATTTAATGAAATTAAATTAGTTGCAACTTTCAGTTCTTAGCAGTTAAATTAATTACGTACTCGCTTCTATGTGGAGCTTAATGACCATTTGCTATAAATAATATAATATCGATAAGTTTCAGTATTTATTAAGCAGAACATATCTGTTTTTCTGATAATTTTTGTGCTAAAACTAACCTTAAACCAGACAATCTCAAACCACTAAGTTGCGGTAAAATCCCTTGAATTCTGACCAAAAACAAATGCATTTGAACATTTAACACGAATGCACTTTAAGCTTAAATTGATTAGTGCATTGACTAGCGTCACAAGGTCTAACAAATCGTTTAAATACCAATCCTTTATGTTCTACTTTTCTGTTTCTTTTCGGTGATACATCTTTTATGTAATTTGATTTCTATGGAAACATCCTAATTCACTACTTTTATCATTTAGAAGGTAAAATTCTTGGTCAGTAGAAAATAATCATGCGAATTCAGTAAAAGATTGTTTATAAAAATTGTTACTATTCAACTCATATTCAAAATTCGATTGATTCATCTTTACTTGAATGATAGTAATAATAATGAATATATTTAGGATGATGTGATTATGCAGTAGAAAATGACAAAACTTCAACAGTATTTCAAATAAATAACCGGCCCTTAATATATATCATGACATGAAAATTAAAAATATTGTATTTTTATTAATGAAGATATTTTACATAGTACCAAAACCAAGAGCAATGGAATTTCATCAAATGTTATATCAACTACACAAAGTGTACCAATGAAATTGATGAGGGTTGTAAAATGATATCATAATTATGAAGCGCTTATCTCTTGAACGTTTTAATTTGAACCATTTGCTTACTGATGATTTAATAGCAAATAAACCAGGTATGAACTACTTACTATTTACTATAATTACTATAATTAAACACTGGGTATGAAGGATGGCGATAAACATTATTAAACCAACCAAAGTAACGGTGATTACAAACCAAAAATGCATGACAACGACTAATTTTTGAAAACAATCACATCCTTTTCATACTCTGAGCTTTCTATGCCCATATTTGACACTCATAATAATACTGTTTACGAATTTTTTGTGTGAAATTCCCTTGAGTTAAGGATTTGTATTTCAAAATTGATCAGTGGTAAATCATACAAATTAACATAAATCAAAATCATTGCTCATTGCTGTTGGACATAACAGCTTGTTTACCTAGTCGCAACTACTGGAAAATATATTTGAAATAAGGTAGAGTGAATAAAAGAACGAAAACCCGGAATCCATGTGCATAAAACTATGGTTATTGTGTGACAACCACCTTCAGTTTTAACTAAATTGCCTTTTGGTTTCGCACATATAACGAGTTCATTAATACTAAGTTACTTTTTAAGGATCACTAATTTGTTAGCTAGGTTCTATATATAAAACTGAAATTAGCTAACAAATAACCTTATAAATGAGGATATTTTAAGGAAAAATCACAGACCCTAGAAACAAAAGCCTTTTAGATGTTTTTCCTGCCCTACTGAGTTGTCCATCAATCGTTCTTTAAACAAATGACTCAGTTTCAAGAAACAGCGTAGTTGAATAAAATGAATATCATAAAAATCCTATAATTGGCTAAGAATGTGAAATAAGATTCCAAACTTGAAAGCTTAAATGTGAAAGGAAGTCTCCTAAAGAATTCCGAATAATTCTGATGGTCACTCCCTTTCTGGAGTCGAAATAACTTCAAAATTTTAAATGACTTTAAGTAACAGGTTTATTAAACTTGACAAAAAATCAAAATTATACTTACTTGAAACAATATTGCTGTAGCGTGACAAAATGGGTACGCTCGCGGAACAATAGGTGCATCCTGCCATACTAACCAAGACATTCTACCAGCAACAGGCTTTCGAGAATCTTTGATAGCGGTTAGAATTGTTGCAATAAGCACAAACATATCGGCTATTGCCAAAGAAATCAGGTATGTATTAGTGGTTGAGGCTCCGATGGCGCGCCTTGTCAGTACAATTAAGGATAAAAAATTTCCAACAAGACCAATGCAACAGACACTTATCATTGATACGCCAACAATATAATAGCTGATAAGTTCCTTCTCACCATCGTTAAGTGACGGAATAACTAATGGCACCTCAGATAAACCATCTATACTAGAATTATTAGTTGTAAGAGATTCAATGTATTCTGATGAACTTGGTGGAGAAACTGTATTGTTGAGTATCATTGCGACAAATCAACTTTACAAGTTATCGCAAAATTCTGTAATATCTAGTACTTCATAAAACCACATTTATTTTCGAGAGTTATGACCATAATATTGTTCAGCGAAGTATGTTACTTAATTGGGAAGCTTCGTTTCCTCCTCGGGGAGTCGCTATAGAATATCCACATTTTAATCCCAGTAAATCCAACTTCGAAACTCCTGCATAATTTAAAATTTAATCTGGAAGTTAAATCTTTCCAGTAACTTGAAAAAAAACTTGTGCTAAAACTGTAAGATGATATGGCTTGATATTCTTTTGATCTATGTACTGACTTTGCATATTCACATGGGGCACACGGAATAGGAATATGAATTTAACGAATCCGTAGCCTACAGCTTGTGACCTTTAGGTTTTGTTTGATGTAATAAAACAAAATATGTGAACAAGAGCCATTTACAGTCCACTTACACAGATCGTCAACTGAATACTTGTCGAATAACTTTCCTATCGGTGAATAATAATGAAAATCTGAATATAAGATCATTTATTATCTCTGCGGAAAGTGGCTTATTTCGCCTAATAAGTAGTAAAGAAAATAATCAATCTCAATGGCGGACAGCGTGTATATTCTTGATGAAAGAAATTAAAAGAATGGAAAATCTCGTGTGAAATATGCCTAGCTTGTTGTATTTCATCAACAAGAGTGATCGTACTTACATAATAACTGCATCATAGGTTTGCCTACCAATCTTACCCGGTCATATATCTCAGTAAATGGCTAATATGGTTTGAAAATCAACCGTGGCTGTCACCTTGACGTGACATTTGGGCTTGCCTATCGTGATAACTCACACGAGCCATATTGGCTGGAACACCCATTCCTTTAGGTCCTACCATGCCCGGCCTCCCAATTGGAGAACGGTAAGTTTGTAAACAGCAACTTAAGGTGTGAGGCCGAAGTTTTACTGCTGACTGTGGAGGGTTGTGACAGCAGTAAGGCGTTTTCTCATACAGCCGGCATCTGCAGCGATTCTGTCTTCTTAAAACAGAGAGAAGGGGTTATAAGTAGTAGAATTTAAAACGTTACACCCCACTTGAAGAGCAGAGCTAATGTTTTAAAAACTCCACTTGAAAAGGTCCTGCGCAACCGGCCACAACCAGTATGCCCCTGAACTTTGTCACGCTTACACCAACACTAATCCAACTTCATTTCTAGACCCCTCATGAAACACCCTTCAACATGTGGCAGACGGGTAGTGACACCCACCCTAATCGTGACGACACACGAAAACAGATCGGTCATATTCAGATCCTTCTTACAGCTCTTAACATCTCTCTTATCTTCACGACTAACCCTTCTCATATTCCTTTATCTGATAGCGCCAGAGACGCAGACGATTTGAGTTCACAAAAATTTATTCCTGGTCTCCGTTACAAACAACATATTGGAGCTTTTTAAGTCCGGAAATTGTGCTAAGTAGGACGTCAGGCTTTCTTAGCTAGGAATCTGGAATCTAGCGCTTTAGATGTATGCTGCATCGCGGTTAGCAGAAGACTGTTGGCCGTTCTGGATCACATGATTAGATTCACAGTAGGCTCTAGTATGAGTGCGTATTTGCTTATGGCTTACTAGAGGAAGGAAAGACACTGCAAGGAAACCTCTTAGGGTTCTACTTATTAATAGCATAGCCGTTTGGATATTCACCAATTATCCTAAGAGAATTATTCTGTAAGTCTAATTATATTAGTCATCCTAACAATCAATTTCACATACTTTAAATGCTGTTTCCTATTAGACCTAACTGTACAATTACGCATTATCTGTAAAGTTTTATGATCCAGATCCTTAGTTCAGGACCTCTATCCGCTTCTGGACTCGGACCTTGTACTTCTCGATGTTTTCAGAATACACGTTCTACTTCTTATCAGGTTTTCATCTTCTTAATGGGGCTTTGGGACTACAGGATTTGAGTAGACTGTCCAATAGCCGGAGTGTCGATCCACGCTCTCGTTTGCTGACGAAGGTGAACTCGTAATAGTTCAAGTGTATCAGTTGATGTGTTGACGTGCATGCATAACAACTGCTAAAAATACATTTCATTCTTAACCCGAGAGATCGGATTGATGGGCAAAACAATCTAGGAATCAGTTCAGCTGGCCTTCAACTGAACTTCTGTTACCCACGATCTCCAGTCGACCTGAATGGCAAACTAATGTAAGTCCTCCAACTCTTAACTAGACTGGAAAGGCTATGTACAATCTGAAGTGAGGGGGAGCAGTAGGTCTTGATGGATTAACTCCGGAGATTTTTAAGGATGGTGGTCTAGCTTTAGCAGTTAGATTACCTGAAATCTTCAGTAGAATCTGGGAACTAGATGTAATCCCGTCCAACTGGTTCCAATCGCTGATTGTCCCAGTTTATAAGAAAGGGCGTAAGTCCTTTTATGAAAATGACGGAGGAGTCAGTTTGGTTGATATAGTGTCTAAGATATTGCCTTCATTAAAACTTCTACGCTTAAATAGAGCTTTTCGAGCGCAAAGTCGAAAGAATCGTTCTGGTTTCTAGCCTGAATGTGGATGCATAGAACACATATTCACACTACGTAAGGTCCTGGAACATAGACACTCGTCACTGGAGTGAGTACAAAAGAAGTACACTAAACTTGTATAAGCTCCTTACTCGAACACTACTTCCCAAGAGAGAGATTATGGCAAACTCGCATTGAAACTGATTACTTCAAGTGGTGTATGTCATGATTGTCCACTTTCCCCATCTTTATCCAACTTTGTAATAAACATGCTTTTACAGATAAAATTATCTTCGTCTAACTTTTGAGGAGTTGGACTTTTACCAGAAGATTCACTTGTTGACTTGGAATATGCCGATGATATAGTTCGGTTCGGTAAAGATGATGAAATAATTCAGCCTTCTAACTATAATAAGCAACAATGCAAAAATGTTCTGGAAGTGGTTCTCCCCCTTGAAATGTTAAGAGTGTTGACCGCTTAACTTATCATGGGAGTCCTATCAGCGCTGATGGCCTGGTGTCGGGAGAAATCTCAGCAAGGCTCGACTGGCCTTTGCCAACTTGCGTCACTTATGGCGTAGGCGAGATATCCGTTCGCTGATTAAAGGACGAGTGTTCTGCGCAACAGTTCTCTCCGTCCTGCCATACGGGTGAGAAACATAGCCACTAAAATCAGAGAATATTCATACGTTACCAGTATTTAATCATAAATGTCTTCGAAGAATTCGTCGTGTATTCTGCAACTATTCAGAAAACAGTGCTGGTGTTAGGGAAACGGTGCTAGGAAAGAATGGCAGATCATTAGATGAAGTATTCAAATTTCATCAGTTTAAGTAGCTGGGATGTGTGTTACGAATGCTCAACCACCGACTTCCACGACGAGCTATGTTTTGCAGTATAAAGGTAGCCTGGAAGAAAGCTATAGGCGGACAGGCATGGCGAAAATCCATGAAGTCACTGACAAATGGACCGAGCCACATTGGTAGGTGTAGACCACCTGGTTGGTGTCCAAGAGATCATAGTAACCGATGGCTGGAGACGTAGTATGACATGCCTCACATTAGCTAAAATCTCCTTTCTTTGTTAACTTGATCAGGTGTCCTTTTCTCCAGTATGTCGATACTTGTTCTTCTTCCTAAATCTAGCTGAAAAAAGCATGAAACATCCCCTCAGTTACTATTATTTCTGCTTTTATTGCCTAATTCTGCTGCTTTATAACTCTTGCTTTGTCTGATGATCACATTGCAATACCCACCTCTTTTGCCGTTCTTCAGTGTCGGTGATTACTTTACCTTCTTTGCTCTTTGCTAGTATTTCTTATTTACGATAATATCGAGAGGGCTTGTTTGTCGTATTATACAGTTGTTTCATTTTTCCTCCTCTCTCTTAGAGCTAGATCGTCCACGTGTTTCCGTTTAGCCGTTTTAATGCTCCTCTTTACTTGCTCATTTATTTCTGTGCATTTGGACTGTGCCTCGACTTTCTTCGCTCTTTTTCGACGGGTACTGATTTCAGTTTTCTTGCTTTTGAGTAGAACCAAGCGTATCAACAGTGATCTATTCCTCGTGATGGTGCTTCGTCGAACTTCAAACCTCATGACATGTTGAAACAGTTGTTTCTTTGATACCTTCCAAGTTGTTCTCTTTAGTAGTTTCCTTTTCTTTGAAAAGGCTTGCAGCTTATCACTGAGGGCTACCATGAATTCGTTTAGTTCGCCTGTATATTCGAGAACGGCCGTATCAAACTTATCTAATGCTGCTTGACCAGTTGTCCTAGGTTTTCTAGTCTCTGTCGCATCTTGGCCACTGCCAAGTGATGACCGAAAGCTTTGTCAGCGCCTCTCTTGTTCCATATGTCCTTCTCGGTCCTTCTGAACGTTTAAGTGCTTTAAATGTGATCGTTTTGGCTCTCCGTAGCTTGGTCCAGTGTAGCACATGTGGCTCAGTGTATGCGTTTGTGTGGAAATATGCTGCGGCATAAAGATCTAATCCTTCACCATTTTTACTCCTTTCTCTCATTACTATTCTTCCCAAGGTATTTCCATATCTAATGTTGTCCATTCCAGCATCGGTGCTTAAATCTCCCATCAGGATGGTTATAACCTTCCTCAACATTTCTCTACGACAGACTACAGCCTGTCAAAAAATTAATCTTCACTGTCTTCGTTGATGCTGTGGGTGTGCATTACACCTATTCCGGTTAATTTTAGTCCTCTCTGTCCTTGTCTGGATGGTACGTCGTTGAAAAACATGAATGAGTCAATGTGTGTAAGCTATTTTCTTCCACATGGAGATAGTACTATTACATCTCTCCTAACGCTTTTCCTGATTGTCCAGCTTGTGTCAAAAGGATTTCATTTATTTCAAGCACCAATAGGTTCGCTTTTCATTTCCGCAGCAACCTGAACTGTCCACTGCTTGAACATTTCATGTACCTACTTTATTTGTTGCTAAGGCTTTAATAAGAGGCGTCGGTCTCTTGAATTCCTAGGGTACTCAACTTTGATGAAGAGGCCTCAAGCTCTATGTGATGATAGCCTTCAAACTTGCACGTCTGCGTATAAAAGATTTGGATTATTTATTCTGGTTAGCGTTTTTGGGCGAGTTGGTTTCCTGCAGGTTTGTCTCGATAGTCTCATGTTAAGTCTTCCCCCTTTATTTAGGCTTCGGAGCAGCGGGAGTAAATGCGAGCCTAGTATGAGCGGGAGGTCTCTCTGAAGAATTGCAACTGTGGTTTCTACTTGACATTCAGGAACAGATGCAATCCCAAATCAAGGTGGTGGAGAAAATTTGTTGCTCAGGTCGATGACTGTGGTGGTGCTTCGTTCTCTGAGCTGAATGTTTTGGTTTTGGAGATTTCATTGTTCTTCTGAACAACATCATCAGCAAAAACTTCTCTCTGAGAATGAAAAACCACAGCGTTTGCATTCTCAAACGTCAAAATGGTGATCTTACCAAACTAGAAATGGATGAAATCTTTAACACCAACTTCATCAATCAAATAAACTAAGTACCTACATATTCAGAGTACTACTCAAATATAGCACCACCTGATGGCCTAGGTAATATTCGCTTGCTCCTGACCTAGTATTGAGAAAATTAAAATCCCTGCCTACCGGAAAGTTACCAGGATGTGACAGTATTCGGCACATAGCCTTGAAACAATGCGCCAAAGCCTTCTGATCACCGATATGTTGCCTGCTCAGACTTCACCGGAGGTACACTAACTCCCAGCTGAATGCAAACAAGCTACTCTCTCCAATCTTCAAAGGAGAATGTAGGAAGGACCTAGCCTCTTACAGACCAGTGGCATTACTACTAACTGCCAACATGGTAATCGAAGGACTGCTGAATGAGTAATAGCGGGAGCACATGGATAAGAAAATTATCCTCCATGAAGATTAGCACTGGCTTCGGATAGGCGGGCCCTGCGCATCCAATCTTCTTATGGCATGAGACAGTTGGACAACCTTATAAGACTGAAAAATACCGGAGCGTATAATATTTCTTGGCTTAGCGCAAACCCCATGCAATTCTGACCGCGAAAGTTGTGGAAATGGGCTTCACCGACATACCCCTATCTTGGTTCAGAAACTACTTGGGGAAAACAGATTTTTGTACCAAGGTAAATGGAGTGCAGGCGAGTTAGCAAGTCTCAATATTAGGAGTTTCACAGGGGACCATCTTAAGTCCACTTCTCCTCTTGAAATTCATTAACGATCTTTTAAACAAAGTTAGCTCGTCGGGATTGATTTACGCAGTCGATACAAATACCTGGAGGTCCATTAGAAGCCAAGAGGATTCAAATGAGCTTCAGAAAAACCATACATCTATTGGAGAATGGGCAATGAAAAACGGATTAAAATTGAAACAGTCAAAATTACACGTTATTTACATTCTGTCCCGCACGACAAACGAATTACACTCTTGACGGAAGTCCGCTTCCTAATGTCTCCTCAGTACGCGATCTCGGTTTATTAACCTCCGAAAGCCTCCACACCAGCTCGAACTATATAGAGGACGCAGCCAAGGCAAATAAAACTCTTCACTTTATGCGAGGACAGTCTAGTGCTCCCACCCCAGAATTATTCTCAAAGTTGTTTAAAACATATGCGCCCCCACACCTTGAGGTTCACAATTTCATCACACCCCGTCTCCTCAAAAGAGACATAAATCTCCTGGATCGAGTGCAGAGACGGGCAACGAAATGGGTGATAAGGTTGAGAAAAAAACTTACGGAGATACACTACATCATCCGGGATTATTCTCCCTGAGTTACAGGGGGATCATAAGTGATCTGATTATGGCGTACAATATATTATCTCTGTTTCCCCTCTCTCGCTTACACTTCAGACTTCTTCCACATTCTTCACTACCATTTGATCAACTAAATTATTCATTTATTCACTTAGTTCTGAAATATTCCTATTAGCAATAGAATTTTCCCCTTCTTATTCTCCACATTCTCCATATTTCCGGTCTGGTAATGTGATAGCTGCTGGTATACAGAAGCCCAGCTGCCATGAAACAAACGTATCCTTTCAGTTCGCAGGACATACAAACTCAAAAACCAATGCCAGCTGACTAGAACTGGATAGTCGAGTGTCGAGAGTGTACCGAATGAATAATAATTTGGCGCAATGAAATCAAATGGTCTACACTAGCTCGTGTAAAGTATTGGAAATTGGATGGTATGGAAGTCCACTCCCTAATGTCTCCTCACAGGGCGATCTTGGTTCAATAACCACAGAAAGCCTCCACACCAGTCCAAACTATGTAGGGGATGCAGCCAAGGCAAATGAGACTCTTCACTTTATGCGAAGACAGCTTGGTGCTATCACACCGAAATTATTTTTAACCCTGTTTAAGACGTACGCGCGCCCATACTTGGAGGTTCACAACGTCATCGCACCTCCTCTGCTTAAAAGAGACATTAATCTCTTGGATCGAGTGCAGAGACGAGCAACCAAATGGGTGATAGGGTTGAAAAATAAACCCTACGACGATAGACTCCAGCTCTTGGGATTATTCCCACTGAGCTACAGGAGAATCAGAGGTGACCTGATTATGGCGTACACCATATTAAACACGCCAAACAATCCGAATGTGAGCATCTTACCGATGCATCACCACCACTCCCTCGAGGCAATCCTCGAAAGATTGCACATCAAAGAGCAAATACTCAGATTCGTGCACACTTTTTCTCATTGCGAGTCGTCGCAACTTGGAATGCTTTCCCAGCCGAGGTAGTTACAGCCCCCTCAGTGGACTGCTTTAAGAAGAGACTTGATAATCACGTACTCACATACGGACTATCATCTCCCTCTTCGACAAGCTGTGCCTGATGCATGTCTTAAGACCTGCTAGTTGTTACCATTGCCATCTCCTCAGATCACTCAGTTAATCTATCTCGCCTATTCCTCTCCCTTGCTTACACTTCGGTCCTCTCTCACAATCTTCACTACCAATTAACAAACTAAATTCATCTATATATTACTCAGTTCTGTAATTTTACTCATATTATCATTTTAATTTATCCTTATTACCCTTATTACTCTCCACATTGCAACTAACTGATCTCCAGTATGGTAATGTGACGGCTGCTAGTATCCAGAAACCCTACTGCCCTGAAACAAACGTTTCATTCAAATCCCGAGACATACAAACTCACAACCAACTGCCAACTGACTAGAATTAGACAGTCGAGTGGCTAGACCCCCATCCATTGGACATTACCGAACACCTGGAACCGTACCGAAAGAACAAGAATCGAGCGCGAAGAAATCAAATAGGTTTACACTAGCTCGTGAAAAAGATATTGGATATTGGATATTGGATTTGCGGGAAACTAATCATGACCTTGTTTCATAGGAAATGTGTTTTCCGTCTTTCACCACTAATTAAAGTTTCATCTGCAGAGTTTCACTTGGGACACCAAAATTCAAATTATAAACTAGTTGCTAATCCTCACAAAGAAGAAACCATTTCTTCTGGCTTTGACAACGTGACAAGATGGCTTATAGCAGCAGATATAGTCAGAGGTACTAAGCTTACTGTGAAACAGTATTGTTTATCACAGGTCTGCGATTGACTCTTGGTATGGTGTTCAAGGAACCTGCAACTCTAAACTATCCTTTCGAGAAGGGTCCTCTTAGTCCGAGATTTCGTGGTGAGCATGCACTACGCAGGTATCCTAGTGGTGAGGAACGATGTATCGCTTGCAAACTTTGCGAAGCTATTTGTCCAGCTCAAGCCATCACTATTGAGGCCGAGCCAAGAGCTGATGGAAGTAGGAGGACAACTAGATATGATATTGATATGACCAAGTGCATTTATTGCGGCTTTTGCCAGGAAGCATGTCCAGTAGATGCTATCGTAGAGGTAATTATTTTGTTCTTTTGAAATGCTTACTATACCTATGATAAAAACCAACTTGCTAGTTCTTGGATTTTCGGGCTAAGTTCCCACTTACAACTTGCAGCTATTACTGACCAGTTTACAACAGTAAAGTCCGAAACGATGAGCTTGTTATCAGTAGCATTTCGTGACAGTTTTAAATTGATGACTGGTAGTAGTTAATGTGTCTATCCAAACTTTCGAAGTAGGAAGAAGTATTATTCAATGGCCGACCTAAAGAATGCTATTTTGCTTGATTTCACGGTTTGTTAAGTAAGCCTAAGTTGGAAAGCCTCATCTTCATCTACAAATCTTTACTTCAGCAGCATAACTTGACAGTTCCAAGGCCGATTTTTGTAACTTGTAAGCATATGAAAGTTTGTCAGTATCTTACTCAAAATCGCCGCTTTACCTTTTGATAATTTTGACGCGTTAAAATACTATAAGCTACCGAAAACAACCTACAGTTAGCTCAATAAAAGTGAACCTTGTAATTTAATCTTTTAGATTCCTACAGGTTAAGTTATAAATTCACTTTCATCCTCGCTGACTTTGTAGATTTTCTACTTATAATCCTATTTGTTACATTTTTCTCTCATATTCTATTTGAAAGTCACTTAAAAATGCTTTTATTAGTTTCACATTCAAATTACGCACCAAGTTGATCGCATTCATTTATCATATCTTAAGTTTCATAAATATAGTTGTCAAGGTGTTAGCTTATAGGATGTATTTGGGAGAAATCATGCATGTACTCGGAAATTCTTTTTGTAAAGATGACATTGGCAAAGTATGTAAATAACTTTCAAAGCAAACATCATCTCATGGTCTCCATATGCAGAGACAACCAATGGAAAACCAATGTGCTTAAAATATCAGCCAGTCTTTTACCATCATTGTAAGGTTTGAGGAATTTCGAACACATTTCCTCTGTAATATCTGGAATATTTATTTAGGACGAACGTTTTGAGCTCTACAAACCGGTCACTTACAAAAGCAATTTGTTCCTAACTCTTAGGTTATCCAAGATCACTGTAATAAAATTGTGACATTGTCAGAAGAACACCTTTGGGCTACTGTACCTAGGTTGGAGTATTTAGATTCACCTTTGAAGTACTCACAGTGATTTCGGCAGCGATTGGATAAAGTTGTGCATGGTCGGTTAGATTTTCATAATTTAAATTCGCCACTAAATACCATTTAAGTTATTGCTTACTTATAAAACTGGTCACCTAAGCTTCATCTAATGTTGACAGTGCTATGTGTTTAGTAAGTAAATATTTTAAATCTCTACTTAACTCACGAGTTTCTCCGGATTTTAGTGTCTACATGTAGAACCGATAAAAGCTTTTAAGTGCTCATTTTTCAGTTCTAGTAATCTTAAAGCGTCTGTTATTAAATCAGATAGTTTTATGAGAAATATTTGAAACTGTATGTAATTCATTCTAAATACTCGCTTAACAGTAATTCTCTAGGTATCACGAAGTGGCTAACTCTTATATGTTTTGCGCTTATCGAAAATAATATTGTACTAATTAGGTTTCGGAGACATACGTAACAGTCATTAAGTTTGGCTTTGATTTTCAATTGAAAATACGAGTAAGTTTTCACTTGCTTAAAAGGCATCGACAAAAACCCAATTTTTAGCTTATCAGTATTTTCATTCCATAGTTTGTTATTTCAAAGTTGATCGCACATTTCAAATCATAAGAAAAAAAATCTAACAAAAAGAAACGTCACTGGACCAACCTGTAGTTGTAAATACTACTGAATTCTTCGACTATCCTTCGGTACATCTTATTTCACCATTACATTAGTATAATTGTTTATCGGGGTCTGGAACTCAGTAGGTTCGCCACTCAAATATAGGATTTTAGAGAATGAAATTCCTCTTTACGTTCATTGAGGCATCATAATTGAGTTGTTTTAAGCTTGAGAAGCTGTAATCTTAAATAAATAACCCAATTACTTATCATCTTTATACCTACATTTTAAATAGCTGATTCTTCTCATTTCTTTTTGATGAGTTTCGGTGTTTTATGCTCTTGTATTCAACCTATTAATAAATCCATTAACTTGAACGGATGTATTACTGTAGAAACTATTACTCTGTTTAGTGTAATTAGAGTTTCAAACAAAGGATATAATTTTTTAAAATCATGTCAGGTTAAGTGTAATCTTAACAGTTGTTAGTGAGTTGAATATGAGATACTCTAATCATACTTTGATAGGTCAATAAGTTATTTAAACCACCGAACTACAACTGATATTAATATTCCAGTTTGTTTTCTCTTTTAAATTACAGGGACCAAACTTTGAATATTCTACTGAAACACATGAAGAATTACTGTATAATAAGGAAAAACTGCTGCAGAATGGTGACAGATGGGAAGTTGAAATCTCTGAAAATCTCAAAGCAGATTATGTATATCGCTGAAGTATTATATAGTTCACTTAATTTACAAATGATTTATTTCATAACATTAATACCAAGTACTAATTTCGTATTTAAACAATTAATACCAACTTTTCTGACATGTTGGGTTGTTAAATATTTGGATATTCTTAGATACATTGGTTTAGAATAAAGTAGAGGTTTTGACTTTTTCCTGGTTCCTTTTGTGCTTTTGTCTCCCAGTAAGTCCTCATAAGTCATGCATAATGGGGAGATCAGATCAAAATGATTTGCTTCTAGTGTCAAGTTTCCATTTATATGTTTAGAATAGTGTAATTTCTATCCAACATAGGTTATGTGACAACGAGTAAATAAATAGTACCCTTCGTTCATTAACTTTAAACCGGTGGAATAATTGAAATGCTCACTTTTACATGAAGTAAGTACTAAAAATGATCAGAACAACAGTGAAAGCCGCCTATTAAACCTACCCTAGACGACCACAAAGGCATCCACCTGAGCTGCAATACTTCTCGCAAGCCATGTTGTTTGGAATTCTTTGTTCTAAGTGGGATAAAATATCCTGGATAAACTATTTCCATCAACTGAGCTCGTTTTTCTGAAACGATATATCCCGACTTCATTTGGTTATCAATCATCACTAAAAGCTGTTAGCTAACCTCTAAAAGGTGTTCATGGAAAATTTCAATTCAACTAATTGTGCGACGATAAGTATAGTCATTTGACCTAAATAAGCCATGATTGTCTCTCACAGTGTATTTTACTTATCATGTACTACTCTAATTCGGTATGACGATAAAAATGCACGCATCTATCTACACATTAATGAAAGACCCCACGCTAAAAAAGCAGTTTGCAGAGCTACGCTGAATTGAATGAAAAGTATTCAGAATTTGTTTTGGGTGATTGTTTATTCACCTAGTTTTATTATTCACTGTCCCTACCGTATCTGCTACCTTGACGTGGTGGTCGGGCTTGACTATCGTGATGATTCAGCCGAGCTATACTGGCTGGAACATATGTTCACGAACGTTCTACCATGCCAGGCAGGTCGGTTGGAGAACGATGAGACTAAAAGCAGCTACCCAAGGTCTGAGGGCGAAGTCGTACTGCTGACTGCAGAGAGGTGTGACAGCAGTAAGGTGTTTCCCTCGGACAACCAGCATCTGCAGCGATGCTGCCTTCTCACAAGGTAGGAAGGGTTAGAAAAGGTCGACCCTAAAAATGTCACACCTCCCCTAACTCACGGATTTCCGTCTTTGTCGGTAAGGGCTGCCCACTAAGGGCTTTCAAGAGCGGAGCTAACACTCAAAAAACCTTTGATAAAAAGGCCGTGCGTGACAGGCCTCAAGCAGTTGTCCCTTGACCCCTGTGTTCACGCACCCAGGTCTCTAAGACCAATGCTAATATACCTTCCTTTTCAGGTTTCTCAAGAAACAACCTTCCACGGTGTGGGCAGCCAGGAAGTGACAACCGACCTCATACCCGTAACAGCACACGACACCAAATTGGTCAAAATCAAATCCTTCATACACCCCCTAATACCTCTCTTATCTCTACGACTAACTCTTCTCACATTCCTTCATCAAACTGCACAGCTAATGCAAACAATGCGAGTTCACGAAACGTCATTTCTGGTCTCCTGAAACCCCGCTCTAGACTACATGTTGGAGCATTTAATGTACGTACATTAGGTCAAATAGGGCAACAAGCTTCGTTAGCTAGAACATTAGAATCTCGCTCAATCGATGTATGCTGCGTCTCGGAAACGCGCATACAGGATCCTAGTAAAGTCATTAATCTGATTTCGCCTTGTCAAAACAAAGAAGCAGCCCGATTTACTCTTCGTGTATCCGGTAGCCCTGATGCTGCTTCCCGGGGTCTCGCTGGTGTAGGTAAAGCATTGAGTCGTAGGGCAGAACTAGCGCTCCTAGAGTGGATCCCTGTAGATAGTCGTTTGTGCGCCGTCCGACTGAACGGGACAGTAAGGATTCGGAAAGATAGGGACACCCATCGTTGCCTCTTCGTCGTTTCTGCCTATGCCCCCACTGACTGCAGTGCAGACGAGGTGAAAGACGAGTTTTACAGAAAGGTTTCGGACCTCCTCCAAAAAGTTAGGCGCTCTGACGTAGTAATAATGACTGGTGACTTTAATGCTCAGGTAGGTAGAGTAAGTGAAAAATGGAAGACACCTAGGTGGATGTTATGGTGTCGCTGCTCAGAGGACAGACAGTGGCAACCGTCTGTTGTAAGTATGCTCAGATAACCGCCTATTTCTAGCAAATACTAACTTTAGGCATAAGGAAAAGCATCTGTTGACCTGGCGACCTCCAAAGTCGTCTCAACGTTGGACGCAACTAGATCATATCGCCATCAGCCACCGATGGAGGGGTTCGATAGAGGACTGTCGCTTGTTCTGAGGCACATGTTTAGATTCAGACCATGCCCTAGTGTGAGCGCGTATTTGTTTGAGGCTTACTGGACGTAGAAAAGACACCGTAAGAAAGCCTCTTAGGGTTTTGCTTAATGATAATAGGGCGAAGAATATATTTCAGAAACAACTAGAAAGACAGTTAGGCGACCATTTAAGCGATTCCCATCAGGAGGCAGGTTGAAATGATATCAAAAAGGCTGTGAAAACAGCAGTGATATCTGCTAGTAAGGTTGACCATAAGGCTAGAATGAAGCCATGGATCTCTGTAGCATCCACCGAACTGATGAATCCCCGAAAACTCATCCCACCTGGCTCTGAACATGATGAAGAACGAAGTCAGCTTAGGCGCAGGCTGATAAAAAGCCTGCGCAACGACCGTGAACAGTGGTGGGTGGCGAAAGCAAAGGCAGTGGCGATAGGCACCAGTAGACAACTTTTCCCACTTATCAAGGAAACTGGTATTAGGAATCCTAGTATAAGTGAGACTATCTCAGAAA